CCAGTTTCATTTTTAAGCACTACAGTTGATCACTTGTTTTTCTTGTCCTGAAGCCCTGAATCCTTTCATGGCTATTCCTCTCTCTCTCTCTCTGCTTTGTTGCATGGTTTCGGCAGATGGGTACTTTCCTTGACTAGAAAGCCTGTGCATAACAGCTCTTGGCACTTCTACTATAATGCCATTAGATTTCATGGGAAATTGCTTCAAGCTGCTGTACTCTGTTGTACTTGGCTGTCGTACTTCTTAGGGCCAAATACTCTCCTGCTGTAGAAAAGCCACAGGAAGGGAAAAGGCATTCAAGAACTGGCCAGATTATCCCACCGGGGGAGGTGGAGAGTATGCAGCCATGCAGAGGAGCCCACTGCTGCCTCCTCATTCAAGATCTGTGCTCCCACTGTGAATGTGCATTGGCAGGGGAGCTAATGTTGCTTCTAGGAGCAGCATTAACTTTTCTATGTTTCTACTCAGATTTCTACTTTTGGAGCATACTATATAAAAATAAATGGTTCCAAAGGGTCATTCCTTTCAGCCAGCTTGACATGACTCTCCTAAAACCAAGGAGCCCCAATTTCATATTGCACACATGCAGAGACTTCTGCAAGGTTTGGGGACGAGAGATAACTTCTGCTCTTCCCTCCTTCTGATGTTTTTGGGCCCCTCCTCCTTTTATTTTTGCACATCTTTCCTTTTCTCTGTATTGCACAACAGAAGAGAGCATTTGACTCAGTCTGCATTGTGGAGTGAATCTACACATGTATTTGTGACAGATTCGGAGCTACCATATAATAAATTATTGATACTACTTGTTGGCCTGGTTATTGAGATGTTTTCTGTATGACTAAATGGTTTTCTCAGTAGGGAATGGTCTAGAATACTGGCAGAAAGGAGGAAACGCCTCAGATAACCACTTCAATGTAATTAAGGATTGGTTCTGAGAACTTTGGCTCAGTCTCCTACTGAGGCTACATGACTAGTTTAATGAGAATAGTCAGATCCGCAAACACAGAAGAACAAAGAACTGTGGCAGGGTATAGAGAGGTACTTTCCCTCAGGAGAGTCATTTTGGGAGGAGGGGGAACCAAACTGAGGCACAAAAACCTGCCAGCAGTGTTTGAAGAAGATAACCTCCTGAAGGCTGCTGTCAAAGGATGGTTGGGCTTTAGGCAGGACAGACAGGTATGTAGACTGCCTGGTGTTTTAAAATCCTCTTTTTCTCTAATGCTTTGTTCTTGCTATATCAATAAACATACATTATGATTACTTTCTTTTTCAGTTCCAGAAATACAATAGATGACAGCACAACTACCACCAGATCATCTGTAAAGGTAGATAGTATAGAATTCTATGAGATTTGAATGTCCAATATCTCCTGTCTATACCTCACTCAACAAAAATCAAGTGGGAGGCCAGTAAAAATGATGATGGGCTAGTTTGCTTTTGTTATATTCACTGCTACTGTAGCCTGTGGCCTAGCTTGCCTCTATAATATTTACTGCTTTGCATTATATTTAGCAATAATGCAAGAAACATACAGACCTGTATCCTGTAAGACATTAGCTTCAGCAAGTTAGCATAAGGCTTGAGGACTAGGAACTTTGCACAGATAAACAGCCCAACGGATAACCCCAAATATTTGGGGAGCTGAAAATAGAGTTTAAAGAGAAGGTCTGACCACAGGTTTATAATTCAACCACAGAAGTGTTCTGGCAATGAACTGACATACATAACATGAGATACATCTAAGGCTAGCCTGCTTCCTTGCCTATATATCTTTTCTTATAAGTTTCTTATTTTCTTATGGATTTGATTGGTTTATAGGTTATATTAGAGTATATATTGACTGTAATGCAAGGGACCTGCAGGTCACCTCCTGTACGTTGAGCTAAAGCAAAGTTAGAATACATATATTTGGGACCTTTCACCTAGATGGATGGTGATGAGCTAAAGCATAAGGTCCATATATGGCTGTGACCTTTAACATAGAGGATGTGTTAAAGCAGGTTGGCATAGGGGCTTTCCTAAGGGTATGTCTACACTACGGAATAAGGTCAAATTTATAGAAGTCGTTTTTTTAGAAATCGGTTTTATATATTCGAGTGTGTGTGTCCCCACAGAAAATGCTCTAAGTGCATTAAGTGCATTAACTCGGCGGAGTGCTTCCACAGTACCGAGGCTAGAGTCGACTTCTGGAGCGTTGCACTGTGGATAGCTATCCCACAGTTCCCGCAGTCTCCGCTGCCCATTGGAATTCTGGGTTGAGATCCCAATGCCTGATGGGGCTAAAACATTGTCGCGGGTGGTTCTGGGTACATATCGTCAGGCCCCCGTTCCCTCCCTCCCTCCGTGAAAGCAAGGGCAGACAATCATTTCGCGCCTTTTTTCCTGAGTTACCTGTGCAGATGCCATACCACGGCAAGCATGGAGCCCGCTCAGGTAACCGTCACCCTATGTCTCCTGGGTGCTGGCAGATGCAGTATGGCTTTGCTACACAGTAGCAGCAACCCCTTGCCTTGTGGCAGCAGACGGTACAGTACGACTGGTAGCCGTCATCGTCATGTCCGAGGTGCTCCTGGCCACGTCGGCCGGGAGCGCCTGGACAGACATGGGTGCAGGGACTTAATTTAGAGTGACTTGACCAGGTCATTCTCTTTAGTCCTGCAGTCAGTCCTATTGAACCGTCTTATGGTGAGCAGGAAGGCGATACGGATTGCTAGCAGTCGTACTGTACCATCTTCTGCCGGGCAGGCAAGAGATGAGGATGGCTAGCAGTCGTACTGTACCATCTTCTGCCGAGCAGCCATGAGATGTGGATGGCATGCAGTCCTTCTGCACCGTCTGCTGCCAGCCAAAGATGTAAAAGATAGATGGAGTGGATCAAAACAAGAAATAGACCAGATTTGTTCTGTACTCATTTGCTTCCCCCCCTCCCCCATCTAGGGGACTCATTCTTCTAGGTCACACTGCAGTCACTCACAGAGAAGGTGCAGCGAGGTAAATCTAGCCATGTATCAATCAGAGGCCAGGCTAACCTTCTTGTTCCAATAAGAACGATAACTTAGGTGCACCATTTCTTATTGGAACCCTCCGTGAAGTCCTGCCTGAAATACTCCTTGATGTAAAGACACCCCCTTTGTTGATTTTAGCTCCCTGAAGCCAACCCTGTAAGCCGTGTCGTCAGTCGCCCCTCCCTCCGTCAGAGCAACGGCAGACAATCGTTCCGCGCCTTTTTTCTGTGCGGACGCCATACCAAGGCAAGCATGGAGGCCGCTCGGCTCACTTTGGCAATTAGGAGCACATTAAACACCACACGCATTATCCAGCAGTATATGCAGCACCAGAACCTGGCAAAGCAATACCGGGCGAGGAGGCGACGTCAGCGCGGTCACGTGAGTGATCAGGATATGGACACAGATTTCTCTGAAAGCATGGGCCCTGCCAATGCATGCATCATGGTGCTAATGGGGCAGGTTCATGCTGTGGAACGCCGATTCTGGGCTCGGGAAACAAGCACAGACTGGTGGGACCGCATAGTGTTGCAGGTCTGGGATGATTCCCAGTGGCTGTGAAACTTTTGCATGCGTAAGGGCACTTTCATGGAACTTTGTGACTTGCTTTCCCCTGCCCTGAGGTGCATGAATACCAAGATGAGAGCAGCTCTCACAGTTGAGAAGCGAGTGGTGATAGTCCTGTGGAAGCTTGCAACGCCAGACAGCTACTGGTCAGTTGGGAATCAATTTGGAGTGGGCAAATCTACTGTGGGGGCTGCTGTGATGCAAGTAGCCAACGCAATCAAAGATCTGCTGATATCAAGGGTAGTGACCCTGGGAAATGTGCAGGTCATAGTGGATGGCTTTGCTGCAATGTTTTCACTAACTGTGAAACAGTTTTCACTAACTGTGGTGGGGCCATAGACGGAACCCATATCCCTATCTTGGCACTGGAGCACCAAGCCACCGAGTACATAAACCGCAAGGGGTACTTTTCGATAGTGCTGCAAGCTCTGGTAGATCACAAGGGACGTTTCACCAACATCAACGTGGGATGGCCGGGAAAGGTGCATGACGCTCGCATCTTCAGGAACTCTGGTCTGTTTCAAAAGCTGCAGGAAGGGACTTTATTCCCAGACCAGAAAATAACTGTTGGGGACGTTGAAATGCCTATATGTATCCTTGGGGATCCAGCCTACCCCTTAATGCCATGGCTCATGAAGTCGTACACAGGCAGCCTGGACAGTAGTCAGGAGCTGTTCAACTACAGGCTGAGCAAGTGCAGAATGGTGGTAGAATGTGCATTTGGACGTTTAAAGGAGCGCTGGCGCAGTTTACTGACTTGCTTAGACCTCAGCGAAACCAATATTCCAACTGTTATTACTGCTTGCTGTGTGCTCCACAATATCTGTGAGAGTAAGGGGGAGACGTTTATGGCGGGGTGGGAGGTTGAGGCAAATCGCCTGGCTGCTGGTTACGCGCAGCCAGACACCAGGGCGGTTAGAAGAGCACAGGAAGGTGCGGTACGCATCAGAGAAGCTTTGAAAACCAGTTTCATGACTGGCCAGGCTACGGTGTGAAAGTTCTGTTTGTTTCTCCTTGATGAAACCCCCCGCCCCTTGGTTCACTCTACTTCCCTGTAAGCTAACCACCCTCCCCTCCTCCCTTCAATCACCGCTTGCAGAGGCAATAAAGTCATTGTTGCTTCACATTCATGCATTCTTTATTCATTCATCACAGAAATAGGGGGATGACTACCAAGGTAGCCCAGGAGGGGTGGTGGAGGAGGGAAGGAAAATGCCACACAGCACTTTAAGCACAGCACTTTAAAAGTTTACAACTTTAAAATTTATTGAATGACAGCCTTCTTTTTTTGGGGCGATCCTCCGTGGCGGAGTGGCTGGTTGGCCGGAAGCCCCCCCACCGCGTTCTTGGGCGTCTGGGTGTGGAGGCTATGGAACTTGGGGAGGAGGGCGGTTGGTTACAGAGGGGCTGCAGTGGTCTGTGCTCCAGCTGCCTTTGCTGCAGCTCAACCATACACTGGAGCATACTGGTTTGGTCCTCCAGCAGCCTCAGCATTGAATCCTGCCTCCTCTCATCATGCTGCTGCCACATTTGAGCTTCAGCCCTCTCTTCAGCCCGCCACCTCTCCTCCCGGTCATTTTGTGCTTTCCTGCACTCTGACATTATTTGCCTCCACACATTCGTCTGTGCTCTGTCAGTGTGGGAGGACAGCATGAGCTCGGAGAACATTTCATCGTGAGTGCGTTTTTTTTCTTTCTAAGCTCCACTAGCCTCTGGGAAGGAGAAGATCCTGTGATCATTGAAACACATGCAGCTGGTGGAGAAAAAAAAAAGGGACAGCGGTATTTAAAAAGACACATTTTATAAAACAGTGGCTACACTCTTTCAGGGTAATCCTTGCTGTTAACATTACATACATAGCACATGTGCTTTCGTTACAAGATTGCATTTTGCCTCCCCCCACCGCGTGGCTACCCCCTCAACCTTCCCCCCTCCCTGCGGCTAACAGCGGGGAACATTTCTGTTTAGCCACAGGCAAACAGCCCAGCAGGAATGGGCTCCTCTGAGTGTCCCCTGAAGAAAAGCACTCTATTTCAACCAGGTGACCATGAATTATATCTCACTCTCCTGAGGATAACACAGAGAGATAAAGAACGGATGTTGTTTGAACGCCAGCAAACATACACTGCAATGCTTTGTTCTACAATGATTCCCGAGTACGTGTTACTGGCCTGGAGTGGTAAAGTGTCCTACCATGAAGGACACAATAAGGCTGCCCTCCCCAGAAACCTTTTGCAAAGGCTTTAGGAGTACATCTAGGAGAACCGCGAATGCCAGGGCAAAGTAATCCTTTCACATGCTTGCTTTTAAACCACGTATAGTATTTTAAAAGGTACACTCACCAGAGGTCCCTTCTCCGCCTGCTGGGTCCAGGAGGCAGCCTTGGGTGGGTTCGGGGGGTACTGGCTCCAGGTCCAGGGTGAGAAACAGTTCCTGGCTGTCGGGAAAACCGGTTTCTCTGCTTGCTTGCTGTGAGCTATCTACAACCTCATCATCATCATCATCTTCTTCGTCCCCAAAACCTGCTTCCGTATTGCCTCCATCTCCATTGAAGGAGTCAAACAACACAGCTGGGGTAGTGGTGGCTGAACCCCCTAAAATGGCATGCAGCTCATCATAGAAGCGGCATGTTTGGGGCTCTGACCCGGAGCGGCCGTTCACCTCTCTGGTTTTCTGGTAGGCTTGCCTCAGCTCCTTCAGTTTCACGCGGCACTGCTTCGGGTCCCTGTTATGGCCTCTGTCCTTCATGCCTTGGGAGATTTTGACAAAGGTTTTGGCATTTTGAAAACTGGAACGGAGTTCTGATAGCACGGATTCCTCTCCCCATACAGCGATCAGATCCCGTACCTCCCGTTCGGTCCATGCTGGAGCTCTTTTGCGATTCTGGGACTCCATCATGGTCACCTGTGCTGATGAGCTCTGCATGGTCACCTGCAGCTTGCCACGCTGGCCAAACAGGAAATGAGATTCAAAAGTTCGCAGTTCTTTTCCTGTCTACCTGGCCAGTGCATCTGAGTTGAGAGTGCTGTCCAGAGCGGTCACAATGGAGCACTCTGGGATAGCTCCTGGAGGCCAATACCATCGAATTGTGTCCACAGTACCCCAAATTCGAGCCGGCAAGGTTGATTTAAGCGCTAATCCACTTGTCAGGGGTGGAGTAAGGAAATCGATTTTAAGAGCCCTTTAAGTCGAAATAACGGGCTTCATTGTGTGGACGGGTGCAGGTTTACATCGATTTAACGCTGCTAAATTCGACCTAAAGTCCTAGTGTAGACCAGGGCTAAGTTCATACCCTTTTGAACTTAATAGGTACACCACAACTTGGAAAGAACCGGTTAGGACAGAAATAACAAATGTGATACCTAACCACAAATGGTCATGGTAATGAATGGACGTATGTGATAATAAGTTGAGATCACTGATATACTAACCTATAGAAAAAAGACACTCCAATATTAGTAAGGTGAGGAAATACAAAAACGAAAAAGGGGAAAAATCCCTACTGAATATGCATCAAACATAGTGGCATCAGCATAACCTATTATAAAAGCAGCATCCCAGCCTAGGGGTGCTAAGAGAGAGAGATATGTAGTCCTTGGGAGGTGACAGAATAATGGCCACTGGTGATGATGGGGAAGGTGATGATGAGGAAGAAGACGACGCTGGCTAACATTTCAGGTTGTTCTACAAGGGATAATGTGAGTCTATGGATGTGCAGATGTACATTCTGTAGTATCTCTATCTACCTTACTGAGTTGGGGTGTTTGTGACAGTATTAATAAACTATATTTGTAAATATAAAAGAGTTCCTATAGTATGAGTGTTGCAACTGTGCACATTGGGATTGTCAACTACATAATAATTTGAATAATACTGGGCCTGATTTTGGGACAAGAACCTGGCAACCCTCAAAGTGATATCTGGGGATTCTTAAGTAATCAATACAATTAATACACAATCTAAAGATTGGGCAACAGTCTGTGCCCCCTATATCCATTAATTAATCTCCTTCACACTGCATCAAAGGGGAACTTGGCCCCTTCTTCATCCTGCAGTGGCCTCTCTTCCCACTCCGAGTTCCACACTAGATAAGGGACTAGAGGAGGTAATAGGTTGGTAGTACAGCTGGAGGAGATTCACATCTCTCTTCTGCCCTCCATCCAAAGGGGCTGTATTTTCTTTTCCATGCACCTTCCGGGCACTGTTTCTTCCATTGGAGGAGGTAATCAGGGCCAAAGTTATTTGTCCAGCAGAGCGTATGAGGACTCCAAAAGACATGACTGAAAGCTCTGACATATTGAGGAGAAAGGTGGGACAGGATACATAAATCGATTGCTAGGTTTGGATCAGCTGGTAATATTTCTCATTGTGCTAGGGAACATTCTGCATGCACTGAAAGCCTGATGTAATGGTTCCTACATTATAAGAAGATGATAGTGACCTGAAATAGAAATGGGGCAGGTGTTTCAACATTTGTAGAGAAGGGGAATTTAATTTCCTAACTTGTTAATGAAAAGTGTCCCATTAAATTCTTTTATATATTGTACATTGTAGCTCATGCTATTATATTGGGTCCATTGAACACATGCCTATTTTATGTATTTAGCTATTAAACTCTGTTCCAAACATTTTTCTCCTTAAAAAGTATTAATACAAAATTAACATTATTAATTTACTGTATCTTGGGGACTATTGTTGCAAATTCAGACACGCATTTCCCTAATCTAAAATAAAAGTGAGAGAGATAAAATGATTGGATTTCATTATATATTTTTTCTTTATTCTTTCCATTGGAAAATTCTCATTATGTTTCCAGCAAAGGGAACGCAAATGAGCCATGAAGTCCCCTGTAGTTTCCTGCAATGTTGAAAACAGCGCTGAGCATTAAGACAGCTATTAATATTACAAGCTTTAATTCAACAAGTTGCTGATTTTGATATATAATATGATGAAGAGAATCTGTGAAAGAAATGCCCAGAAAGATTCAAAATAAAAGACCTAAGGAAGACTCACTTCTATTTCACTCCAGTTTGTTTCTATGCCCCCTTGTTTTGCATTGGTCTGTAAGTGTATGTGATCTCAAATAGATTCTTTTATTTTAAAACTATGTATTTCCATTTATCTGAGAAAATTAAAGACACATTAATTTTTCAAAATTACATGCTTACCTGTCCTAATAACTGATACCAGGTGTGACCACTAAGACGCATGTCTAAAAGTTCATGATCTTCTTCTGTTTTAAATATTTCTTATATCCTTACCACATGAATTTTGAGCTGAATGTGCAGAAAATAGAAACTAAGAATTAAATAATAATATATATTTTTTGAACGTCTTAAAGGAAGAATTCAAAATGATAAAGCTAGAAACTTATGAAGGGAGATAGTTGTCTTCCATGCCTTAAAACAGTATTATAGATTACACAGCAATTTGGGAATAAAGGTAGTAAGACATAACTACAAAATCTCAAAGATATGTTGATCAGAATAAGTCCACAGAGGAGATAGCTGATTGGTTTGTTACAAGGTTGTGGGACCCTTCTCATCTTTCATCTTCTGACTTAGGATCTGAGTGAAGTGGGGCTATCTAGAGAAAGCAGAAGGATTAGATGTGTGTGGAGAGAGAGATAGGAGGGGAAGGTGTGATTTTATCAATTTATCTAATGTGACAAAGCGGCGCGGGCCGAGAAATGTACTGGCCGCCGCTTCCAGCAGCTCCCATTAGCCTGGAGCAGCAAACCGTGGCCACTGGGAGCCGCGATCGGCCAAACCTGCGGATGTACCAGGTAAACAAACTGGCCCAGCCCACCAGGGGCTTTTCCTGCACAAGTGGCTGAACAAGTTTGGGAACCATTGGTTTAGAGCAACCCTGAGATTTCTCTAAGGTACCCGGGGGCAAAAACTGTCTCCCTGACTGCTCCTTAGATCATTGGAAACGGCAAAGATGTCTAAGTCACACTCGTTCCTCCATGACTCAGATGCTACAGTGATCTGGCTCATTATTACCATTTATCTCCAATACACTATTGGAGTATAGCTCAGAGAATTATCCCTAAAGAACCCTGGAAAACATATTAAGGGGGATGCAGAACTAAGATTTCTATATCCACAGATGTTACATGCTCAGTTAATTACTATGTTTGATTGCATAACTATGTGAATCAAAACTTATTTTAAAGACTGTAAAAAGGCTTCTATATCTTTTGAAAATAATTTGGACTAGATCCACAAAGAAAATTTAGGTTTGGTGTACACTTAAAATTTAGATTGACCTAACATCATCACTCAGGGGTGTGAAAATTGCACACCCTGAGCGCCATAGTTAATCCAACCTAACCCCAGGTGTAGATGTGGCTAGGTCAATGGAGGAATTCTTTTGTTGACATAGCTACCATTGGTTGGGGGATGGGGGAAGATTACCTAGACTGGTGAAAAAGCCCTTTCTTCAACACAAGAAATGTCTGCACTAGAGTGCTACAATGGCATAGCTGCAGCACTGCAGTTTCTGTAGTATCTGTAGTGTAGACATGTTCTTAAAACTAGCGTTGCAATACCTAGTTTTTGGTATCTTGCTTCCAAATGGAATAGCCAAGTTCGGTGCCCAGACTCCCTGTACAGTACACGGGGAGAGTTAGGTACCTAAGAATGGGATTAATAAAAACCTGCATGCTGAGCAGGGAGCTGACTAAGATAGCCAATAGAAAACTTCGAGAAAAGGGATGTGGACTAAACCTTGCTCCTGCAAAGGGAGTTAGGCACCTAATAGGAGGCACAGCTCTCTGCTTGGGATGCACAAACCTGAACCCTTTCCCGGAGTTCAGTACCTAACACAGGGGAGCCCTTTCTTAAAACAAAACAAAATAACAATTGGGCCAGAGAGAGTGAGAATGACTCTGTAACCCAGTGCACCAATCTGGACACCTAGATTCCAGACCCTGCTCCAACGATTATATCATACAAAGTGAATCAGCTTAAACAAGAGAGGTTGATCCACCCCAGATATTCAATATTCCAGTGATTAGGTGACTCAACGAGGAGATGTGAAACCTGGGATCAAGTCCCTACTCAATATAAGGTTATATGGAGCTCTGAACCTAGGTCTCCCACATCCTGGGTGAGTGCTGTAATCATTGGGCTGTTGGTAGGTTTGCAGAATTTTTTAAAATTATGTATAATTTTCATGGATAATGTTGATGTTTATTTTTAATTTTAGTTATTTTATTGATTTAAATTGTCATACATATGGGAAATTGGCAGGGGTGGGGATAAGACAATGGGGATATCAGACAATATTATAAAATGACAGTAGACATTCAGATCAAAAAAGTTAACATTTTGTTCCCATTAAAACACAAATGGTCAGCATTGCATGTCAAAATTTCAAAAGTAAATATCCTTAAATCAAACTCAAAAGTTCTCAAGCAGCATTTGTCTTACTTTTCCTATCTGTAAATTTTGAGTGGAAATATTTTTTCGTTGGTTTGTGTGTAACGGTGAAATTGATGTTTACCAATAAAAATCTAATCCTTCTGAGTTATTAAGTAGAATTCCTAATACATTGGTACCTCTTCCCAGTTCTGTGTTTGTTTGGAGCCCTAACTAGTTCTTCATGTTCTGAGAATGCCTACCAGATCAGGTACTGCAACCAAGATTAGCAGGGGAACACCTAGTTTAAGTATCCTGCCAGGGCTTGGGCATGAGCTAGATGCCAGGCATCAGGACTGAGGCACATGCCCACTGCCAGAAATGTAGGCACCTAGGGGGATTTATCAGAAGAAATGTAGATGGCTAAGGAATTTAAGCACCTACAGCATTAAACAGTAGCTGAACAGGGGTTTTGAGGATCTAAATTTTGGGTTTAGGCACATAAAACGGCAGTTAGGTACCTAAATCTTTTTTTGGATATAGCCTTTTAGCTTTCTTCTGTCAATGTCCCTGGCTCCCAAAGCCCTAATCTGCCCCATAAAATAACCTTTTGTAAAATAAATTAAGATTAATTTATTGAGGGTTGTTTTGGAGATTTTCAGTATTTTAGGATTAGTTTATTTACTATTTCAGAGGCAGAGCTACTGTAATACTGTGATACGTTGTAGCATTTTTAATATATATGTATACTGTTGCACATATTTCCAAGTAAGCAATAAAATATGTTCTTTTCCTTCCCT